TTTCTTTACTGTTCCTTGAACAGGGCTATTGTTGGTCTTTGGAGAACTGTCTGGAATACTCTTCTCCCAAATAAATACGCAATCAACTCATTATGCAACATTTTGCTCTACTCACATTTTAAAATAAGACATAGCCAGGCCAACCCTATCCTGGAACTTCCTTGTCCCTTGTCTCCTAGCTATTATATGTAGGTTTACATATGTTTACACTGAAGTTTATATTATGTTTACTGTTCATCCTTCTTCCCAAACCTTGCATATAAAATGCACCAAAGAACTCACCGTTCTACTTTGTGGACAGCTGGAAGGGAGTGTAAGTGCACTAATGAACTAGGCAAGTGAAAATACATGCTTTTCTTTTAAAAAGTGTTCTGGGCATTTGAGGGGGAGGGAAGGAAGCAGGGAGGAACAGGGAATAACGTCCAATTTAAACAAACAACTCCAGACCTTTACATTGCTAGGTGAATGCTGTTAAGACACAAAAGTCAGAAATACTTTTTTTTAAGAAAAAATGATTTGCAGAAGAAAGCTACCAAAAGCTGTGGATTCAATTTTTAAAACACAAACTATGTGCCATTACTGCAGTTACCGTTTTAACAGCCTATTCAATATATTTTAATGTGGCCTATCAAAAACTGTGTAGATGGAATATTTCTAGATACGGTTTTATAAATATTTACCCAAATAATCTTACACCTACAACTTACTCCCATGAGATTGCAGTAGTTCAAAGCACTTACATTATGAAATAATGCCAGAATTGATGCCACATTACTAATGCAGCAAAGTTAAGTGCAGCAAATCAGCGTCTTGTACCTATTTCTAGAAATCCCAAGTGGCTGCCAGACAAATCATTAGCTATGTTTTCTGCTACTGAGAATAAATAAACACATCAGTAAACATACCAAACCAATGAGAGCCATCCTGATTAACTTAAAATATATTTATATTTAATCTTGATAAATGGAAACCTTTGAAAAATTGTACAGCCATAACTCTTAAAATTCCATTTTAAAAATGTTTGCCTAATTATATCTTGATAATTTCCATACTATCTTGCTCAATACCAATGTCATGCTCAGTGTCTATTTGTATTTATATGATGTTCCATGTCCACAACAACCCTATAAGGTTAACAACTTTATGTGCACTTTATATAGAAAGACATTAGGGTTTAAATAAGTAACTTGAACCTAGAACCCAAGGCTGCCTATTCCAATGTCGATGCCAAAACCTTTATCAGAATTGTCTCCCAGAATTCTCCTTAAATTTGCGATCTAATAGAAATACAAAACATTGCCCTATTCTACATTGCAAAATGCTTAGTAAATGTTGACTGTGGTAGCACAGTGCTGAGCTGCCAGTCAAAAAGTCGATGGTTTGAACGCACAACTGCTAGATGCGAGAAACAATGTGGCAGTTTAAGAGTTCCACCCCCAGAATCCTAGGGAAGTTCTACTTGGTGCTATAATGTGGCACTGAGTTGGAATCTATTTGGCTGCAGTAGAGATAGGGCTGTTTAATACTCAGATACATACGCCAAATTAGGAAAGAAATTTTAAAATAAAATCTGTACATGCAGATGTCTAAGATTCCAGAAAACATTAAATGATCTAATTAAATGAGCAATGAGTCAAACCAATTACATGTCGGGTTTGAAACTCAAAGAAAAGAGCTGTACCGGGACCTGGGAGATCTGGAAACCACTCCCAGTTCTATTAGCACAATTTTAGCCCATTGAACGTTCACAACTCATTTTTCTTATCTGTAAAGCAAGCATAAACAACCCAATGGACTGTAATACACCTCTCTTCTAATTGTGCCAGACATATCTGAGTTAGACAGGACGGATATTTGCTACAAAATACAAGTATTTTGAAATTGGAATTCAGATTTACTCTGCCAAAATTAAAAAAAATGGTTAGCTAAATAAATACTCAAATGATAATTGATTGTTTGCCTAAGGGTTTTACATGCATTGCTTCTGAGTCTGGAAATTATGTTCTGAAATTAACCTCCCCAGAATCTTTAAGTCACCGCAAGCAAGGTGCCCCATGCGTTTTAATAGCAAAACTTAGGAAGTAAAAATAATTACTAGTATAAAGCGGCCAGCAAAGAGACTAGGCACAACACAGGAACTGAATGATTGTTTTCACTTCATTATTATCTGATTATTATTACTAAGTCGTTTTATACAACTCGACATGCTGCGTGGGGTCACAGTACCCTAGCACAGGAAGTGTGGTGATCCCTATTTCTTTTAAACTGTAATCGATCCTAAGGCACTTCCAACCCAGGGCTACTTTGGGCCAAGAGAACACTTTAAAGAAAGCAACAACATTGCGATTAGCAAGCTACCAAGTTACTTTCTGGAATGAGCCGCCCTTGACTTTCCTCTGAATTTCTCACTCTCCCAAAACAGGCTCAGGCGTCAAAACCCAGCAATAGAAACCTTGCTGGGCGGCGGCACTGCGCTAGAGAAAGGGGGCACTGGGCACGGGCACACCTGGCGCGCCGCGCACTGCAGCCCAAAGAGGGGCCCCCCTTCGCCTTCTCCTCAGCGCTCGAGCAGCATCAGGCTGGCGGAGGCATTTCGGGTCGGTAGTGGCCAGCTGCAGCCATTCTCTGACTCAACCTCTCCATCCCAGGGCCTGCAGGGCGTTCCTGGAAAAGTCCAGGTTCAAAGCTGAGCGCTGGGATCGGAACAACCTTGCGGGCCAAGCGGAGGCGCTGGGGCGCGAAGCCTCACCACCGGGTTTTTGCGGAGCCCCAAAAGCGACGGCGAAGGGGCAGCGCACACGGGGTACCTTGCGTCCAGCGGCAGAAGATGGTGTCGGAGAGACCAGGGCTGCTCTGGGTGCCCCACACCAGCTCCATCAGCTCTTTGGTCAGTTCGGACATGATGGGGTACCAGCGCGCGCGTCTTCGCTTTCAGGACTCCCGCCCCGGAACATGGGGAAGGAGCGACTCCGGAGGCTGGAGTGGTGGCGACGGCGGTGGCAACGAAGTTCACGGCTCGAGGCGAGAAAGGCGAAAGGAGACAGAGTCGGCTACAAGCGGGGACCCGGCGCCTGTCAAACCGGGTGGAGCAGCAGCAAGGAGTTTCTCCACCGGACGTTGCAGGGCCACTTCCTGCTCGACCGAGCTCCCGCCCCCACGCGGGGGCGTCAGGCGACACGCCCCGGAAGTGGAAGTGGGAACCGGAAGCGATGGAGGAATCAGGTGTTCGCCGCTGTGTTGTCTCAACTCGACTTCCAGGCTCTCTGGCGAAGGGGTAGTTTTGGTTTTGAGAGGGCACGTCCGGGAGGCACTGGCGCCTTGGTGCCCTCCGGCAACCACACCCCATCCCTTCGAGGTAATTCTGGTCCTGGCTGGAGGCCCAGCGCCACAGTCCTGTCGTAGAACGCAAAGACATTCCTGAAGTTAATTTCATTAACTATATATAACGCCAGAATTTTTAATTTCAGGAAACATTTTTAATATTCTTTACTTTCATAGTTATCAATATATATTAATATATACATTTAATTAAACGTTACGAAAACGTCGCGCTCGGCGTTATAGGGTTAAGCTCATGGGAGAAAGACAAGGCTTTCTACCTACGCCTATGAAGAGTTACAGTCCCAGAAACCCACAGGGGCAGTTCTACCAGGTCCTGCAGTGAGTCAGTGAGTCGGAATCGGAGTTCAAGTTCGAGCCCAGTAGATGGTGGTTGAGTGGATAGATTCAGCTTCTGTGCCTCAGGAGATGATATAAAAATGTACTAACTCACCTACAAACACATCTGGCAAATGTGCAGAAGAAATGCCTCTGCCTGATGTAGCACAGAATTACAAAGCTCTTTGTAGGCAAACAATTTAAAGCAACCTGTACAGCACTATGGTCTCAGTTTCAAGTTGGTTTTCACCATAGAGACCGAATGTAGGACCGAATCAAATACTGCCCAGCCCTGCACTGTACTCACCATGGTTCTCTTGGAGCCCGTTTTTGCATCCACTGCATCGATCCATATTGCTGATAGTTTCCCCTTTTTTCACTAATTCTTTTACTTTACTTTCTAAGAACATGTGCACAGTATGTAAGATGAAGTCTCACCTTCCCAGCTTTTAAGGAGCATTCTATTTCTTCCAACACAAAATTGTAAATTCTTCCGGCAGTCCTTGGTATAGCCAAGATTCTTTGTAAACACCATAATTCAAAGCCATCCATTCTAAAAATAAAATAAAAACCTACCAATTCGTTGATCTATCTTTTGATTTTCAAACTTCCACAGGGTTTTTTTTTTTTTACCAAACATTTTGATGGTATTTCCAAGGCATCGCTGAGTAGATTTGAATCACCAAACTTTTGGCTAGCAGCGAGGCCCTTAACTATTTATACCACACAGGGAATCCATTTATATAATTAAATTTGGTTTATGTCCATACTTCTATTTGTGCTGCCTAAAAAGAGAATTTATTAGGGCTTTCAAAAAGTTCATGGAAAATTACTTAAAAAAATGAAAGAAAACAAAATTGACCAGTGGTTCCCATGGGTAAAGGAAGAAGACTTTTTGCTTAGGGGCCATTGAGTTTATGTTAATGGTGGTGGAATAATTTGGAAAAGGATATCAGTAATGGTTTCATAAGATAGTATAATCACATTACTGGATTATACATGTAGAAATTGTTGAATTGGAGAATATTTGTTGTATATATTTTTGTCACAATAAAAAAATTAATTATACTTTTTAAAAAGTTCATAGATAAATTATTATTTTTTCATGCCTGTTTTTTTTCTTCTGGTGCTTTTTCATCAAGTTTTGAATCCCCCTGGTATGTTGGATGACTTTTATACTTGATCTTAGTCAAAAGGTCAAGAAGTAATTTGGTGACTTTTGATTTAAAATGAAAGGACAAAATCAGATGTCATCCTTTTAATTTGTGATTTTAGTACCCTTTGGAAACCAATTTTGTACTCTTTGGAAACCAATTATATTGCTTTGGCATTCAGTACTGCAGTTGTTAGGAGGCTATTCAGGCATCCTCAAACTATGGCCCATGGGCCACATGTGGCCTGCCGAGGACATTTATCCGGCCCGCCAGGTGTTTTTGCCTCATTTGTTTTTTTAATTCAAAATAAGATCTGTGCAGTGTGCATAGGAATTTGCTCATCGGTTTTTTTTAAACTATAGTCTAGCCCTCCAATGGGTTTGAGGGACAGTGAACTTGCCCCCTGTTTAAAAAGGTTGAGGACCCCTGCTGGTAATACAGGAACCAAGCTTTTGCTGTTACTAGCAAGGTACCTACTTTCTACTTGGTTTTTTTCTTTTATTTATTTTTTTGCTTCCCCGCCTGCCCCCACCCCACCCCATACTTGGGTTTTTTTCCCCTGTAAAATAAGGAAAATATCTATTTCATTGTAAGGACTAAGCAATAGCAAATGCATGTGAAGGATTTTATACAGCGTCGGGTACACAGAAAGCACTAATCAAACAATGAGTATTTTGAGCCCACAGAAAGCTGCAGCCCTACGGTTTTCTTATGCTTTTGCTCATGATCTCTAACCATTTTTTTTCTAGCATAATTCTTCATTAATTTTTCCTAATTCCAAAAACATCAGTTTCATATAGATGAATGCCTTTGTAAGAATTCATTAAAATATACTAACCTTACTTTTATAATATTCATGTGGAAACAGAGAAGGGCTTGCCAATCTATATTTATACTGATTTTAACACTCTTTGTAACTAAAGAGAATAGTGCAAAACTGCTGGGCTCCTATGCATCTTTCCTCTTGCTTTCTCTTACCTATCAGATACCGTTTTCTCTAGTTTTGCAAAAATTTTCCTATTCTTCAGGACAGCATATAAATTGTATAAATGCCACTTTCTAATAAAGCTTTATCCAGTTATTACAGTCTAAAGTAATTAC